ATCACTAAAAACAGAAATACAGTACCATCATAGCAATTAATCCTGATATTAATATAACTGTAATAACTGCAGAAGATAATGCCAAAAGAATTTTCGCTAGAGCAGTGCCACTAATCAATTCAGATATCTCAAACACCAGAAAAAGGAACATGATAATTTCTATAAGGATAAAAGTATAACGCCACCATCTTATATAAACACAACGTACTGACACAATTACCAACAAATACATATATATGATAATAATAATAATAGACAGTAATAACGCTAGAACTTTTACATTAACAAATGCAGATGTCATAAAGGATGCAAAGTAACAAATACTGAGTAATGCACAATAAAAAATAGGATTCTTAAGTAATTCACATAGCCTACATATAAAATTCTTAAATAATTTACATAGTCCACATATAATATTCTTAAATAATTTACATATTCCACATCTTTTCCATCTTTTCACAATAGGATTAAATATTTTAAGTAAAAATTTTTTATCGGTAATTTGAAATATTTCATATTCCTCAATTTCAAAAGTATCTTTGTCAATAATTCCTACATTATAAGAGTGTTTTTTATATATACTAGCAGCATCATTCTGCAAATGATTATACAATATTCACAAATTTTGTAAACCAAAACATGGTCCTTTATCTATAGACCAAATAATTGCTTCTGTTTTAGAAGTGACATGACTTAATTTGAGAATTGTTATATTTGATAATAAAAATAATGAAAATATAAAACTTCTTAATGTTTTGCATTTATAATCATTGTAGACGCTAGATGATAAATTTCTATTTTTCATTAATTCCGTACTGCGCCAATTTAATGGATTATATCCACCAATGATTTCTCCAGAGTTTCGAACTTTAATTATAATAACTGTTGGTCCTTTATTATCGCATTTGCTATGAAACTTATCAATGCTAAAATCTTCAAGGCTTGCACGATAAATTAGATTAAATTTAAAAGGTATATCTTTAAAATGATAGCGCCCTTCTTGTTCTTTATCAATCCAACTTGCTATTAATGCTGCATCTTTAGCACTAATAATTTTAGAATTGAAAGGATATGCTGATTCTCTTTTTGGTAAAATATTAGATGGATAACTTAAAAAATATTGATAAAGTTCATCGAGAAGATTATCAGGCAGAAGTTTTTTATATTGAGTAACAACTAAATAAATTTCATAATATGATATTTAGAAAATTCTAATATGAGGAATAAAATTATGTAAAGGCTTTTCAAGTTCTACAAAATCTGATTGCGTCCATTTATTCAAATCATTATTTAAAGAAAAATCTGTATTTTTGATTCCCCATTTAATTAAATATTTCCAGATTTCAAATTCTTCTAATCTAAGATCTTCACATTTTAAAAGTCGGATTACAATATCTTCCTCCATTTTTAGGAACTCATTCGATTCAAAAATGACTCTAGGATTTCTACATACAAGTTCTAATGCAATTTTATATAAATCTGTGAAAACATCATGTTTACATATTGTAATAAAATCTTTTGGAAATTTCCAAGCTGATTCAAATTCAAGCAACTGTTTTTTAGCTAGTTGATTAACTTCAAGTAATTCAATCTCATCAGCTGCTATAAAAATTTCAATAAAACTAATATTATTCTTAATTAAAAATGTTTCTGTATAAATATAGCTATTCATTTAACGGAAACAAATTACCATTTTAGATTTACACCTTAGAATTTTTTTATTTACTATTACAATTATCAAAATATAAACTTACTTTATGAGAATTTCAAATACAGATGGTAAAATATTAGGTTTATTAAAAATGATGATTCCATCTTCCTTCTTTGCCCACCGCGATGATAACGCATTTTTGAAATATCTTGATTTTGATGATAAGACTATATAGTGTGCTTCAAATACTTTAATATCTGGTTCTTCACCAACTTTAATTCTTACATCAAAACTTGAATTTTCAAGTAAATTTGAAAAATCTTTAACTGAACTTTAAGTAATTTCGTTAGTCATTTTTACGAATTAATGGATAATGCTAATGAATTAAAAATTGTAATAACTGCTCAAAATACTAGTACTGTCCATTTCTAATATATGTGCTCATTCAAACATCATGTTAAACAGAACTGTGACACAACATATTTGCAACGTATTACAATATTATTGATAAAATGCGCAAATTTTGCAAAATTCGGTTAAATAACTATCGATTAATCAGTTGCCACAGAATTTATGAGAATAGCTATTAATGCGCATGTAAAATGATAATTACTAATTTAAATAGTTAAGATTTTATTATATTTTCTTTCTATCATGACTACTACTATAGATTTTAGGCATAACAGAATCGATAAGTTACTGAGCTGGAATCAACAAGTTATCAATTCAGTTATCCATTGTCTCAATTCGTGATAATAACTGTAATATTATTTTATAATTTCAATAATTTTTCTTGGATGCTATAGATATTGCACTTTTTTTTTATCAATCCTTATCTTTATTGCAAGCTTTTTATTAAGCATAAAATTTTAGAAGATAAACTTTTTTTTTATTTACGTATTAATTTCAATGGCAGACTGCTAATGAATTTATAAATTTTGCAGGCAAATTTGCCTGCATCAGATTACGATTTAAGGGATAAAACTATTTGATGCTTTAAATTTTATTACGTAGCTTTATGAAATTGATTTTATCATCATTTTACATTACATTGTGTTATATTGCATTCATATTTACATTATATACAATTTTATTAAGAATTTATTGCTCTATTCTAATATTTGGATAATTAGATTTTATAATAAAATTAATATCATTATCATGAATACACAATTCTTGCAGAGTATTGTTTTTGCAAAGCACTTCTGCTAATGCTTTACCTCCGTCTGATCCAAGTTTATTAAAATTAAGATTCAAATCAATCAATGTGGTGCTTTTGTAAAGTGCACTTGCTAATGCTTTTCCACCTTATGATCCAACATTATTATATTCGAGATTCAAAGAAGTCAGCATGGTGTTTATGCAAAGTGCATTTGCTTATGCTTTTCCTCATTCTGATCCAAGAAAATTACCAAATCTTTCAACGTAGTTGTTTTTGCAAAGTGTCATCTGCTAATGCTATTCCGACTTCTGAACCAAATTTATTATATTCAAGACCCAAAGAGGTCAGCGTGGTGTTTTAGCAAAGTGTATTGACTAATGCTCCTGATCCAATCTTATTGTTATAAAGATCCAACTCTTTCAAAGCATTATTCTTACAAAATGCATTTGCTAATGACTTTTCCTCCTTCAGATTTAAGATTATTATAGCGAGGATTCAAAGAAGTCAGAGTGGTGTTCTTGCAAAAGTGCATCGGCCGATACTTTTCTTCCTACTGATCCAAGATCATTATAAGAGAGGTTCAAAAAAGACAGCTTGATATTCTTGCAAAGTGCATCAGCTAATACAGTCAGACTTCTCTAAATGCACCTTCTCTAAGTGCACACCCTCTCTAAATGCGCGCTCAGATTCTTGCCCAAATATATACTTGACCTCTATAAGTGCACTTTTTTTTATTGTTCTCTAAATGCATGTTGTTAAATTGTGGTCCCAAGGACGTGCACTTAGAGAGGTCTGGCTGTACTTTTCCACCTTCTGAATCAAGCACCTTCTACACCAAGGTCATTCTTTCCAATATCTAAACTTTTCAACATGGTGTTCTCGCAAAGCACACCTGCTAATATTTATCCTCCTTCCAATCCGAGATTATTCTCCCTAAGAGTCAAATAAGTCAGCAAAGTATTCTTGTGAAGTGCTTTTATTAACTCGATAAGTGATTCTTCATATTTGCCTAATAATTTATAAAAAGCGATACCACGGTTACAAAGAGCAAAAACGTTATCTTTATTAATCTATAACACCTTACTAAAGTCAGTAATTGATTCTTTGTATAGACCTAAAATTCTATAAGTAGCAACATGAAAATTAAGTGCAGAATAACTATTTGGCTTAATTCCTAAAGCCTTATCAAACTCTGCCTTAGCATATAATAAATAAATCCACGATTACTAAGCGTAAAATAATTATTCGGATTAAGTTCTAATACTCAATTAAGGTCTACGAGTGATTCTTCATATCATTTTAGTTTCATATAAGTAACACCATGGTATCCCAATACGGTGCATTATTCAGCTTAATTTATAATGTCCTGTTAAAATATTTAAGAGATTCTTCATATTTATTTGACAGGTAATAAGTAAATCCTCGATTTTGAATCGCTAATGCATCATTTAATTAATATCTGATAATTCAAGAGGTTTTTCAGTATTTTCTTGCGTACTTAGGAAAATCGAATTGTCAAAATATTGATCCACATCCAATATCATATCCAAAAAAATATTGCTGAAAAGTTTCTTTATGGCTATCGAGCGCAAATACATTAGTCAGATCAATCTGAGATGTGTCATTAAATGTTTGAGAAAGATCAATTATCCCTTAATCCATATTCAGGGAAATTTGCCCCGAATTTCTGATTCTCAGCAAATTTTTCACACTACTATTAAAATTTAATAATATTACCCCTATTGTTTGTGGCGCAATGCATGCACATGTAACTGCAACACCTGTATTTGATATATCTTTGCCGCAAACAAAAACAATAAGGTTCAATGAACTTCTAAAGAAGTTCTTTGTAAATTTTCATATATATATATATTTTTTAAAAAAAAAGAATAGTTTACACTATGATTGCTAGTGATAATGACACTTCTAATGATGAGTATGATGCTGCTGATGATGGTTTTTCTTCTGATTTGCAATATTTTACTTTAATGAATAGGATTTCACTTTTTATATTACCTGTAGTCAGTTGTAAATTATACTGAATAGTTATGAGGTCATAAAAAATTAGAATTAGTTGTGATATTTAATTGTAAGTGAGCAAGGAGTTGTATGATTTTGCAATTAAGGGTGAATTTGTTGGGTCCATTAATTATAGGGTCAGAATGTTGCAATATATTAGTTTTAGACCTCTAGAAACAATTCTTAAAAAATCTCAAATATATTACCTTTAAATAACAACCTAGAAAACATAAAATTTTTTATCTTGAACAACTCTGCACAGCAGACAATATAAATCTACTAGATTGAACATTTCTATTTCCTAGACTCAAACATATCCCCAAAGGTAAATTACTTTTATGGTTTAGTATATTAGAAGATCTAGTACTTGAAGATAAATATAATCATATACTACTTAATCAGTATCAACAAACAGAAACTAATGTCTTTGCTATTAGTTATTATATCTTTAAAAAAATCTAAATCCTGGATAATTACTATTAATGACAAAAAAATCTTTTTGGGAAAATCTATAAACAGTATCCAAATACTAAAAAAGTTTTTATTACATATTGGCAAACAAATTTTGATTTCAGTACCACTAATTGTTGCTCACTTCTATCAATCAATTGTTCACCCTGTTCAGAATGCCATTTCAATTCTAATTAATTAGATTCAGTTTGTACTTTAAAAATATCTATAAATACAACTGCCAAATTCTTTAGAAGAACATTTAACAACCAACTCAAGTTTAATGTCAATTATATGAACCTTATCTTATTTATAGCTATTAAATACCCATTATCAGATCTGGTTTTACCAACACTGCCTACTATTCCATTAATAGACTTAATTGTAACTTTAATTTTTTACACCAAAAAAATAAAAAACAAACTTGAAGAAATATTAATTAATAACTTGATCTCTAATCTATTTAACTTCTTTACTAATAGATCTGTTATTAATATTGGTACTAGCCAATGCTCTATGAAAATTGGCTAAATTCAAGTTAATAATGACAATCAAATAACCTGTCATTTTAATGCTTAAATTAAACTATAGCTATCTTTTTACAAGACATAACTCTTTGCTATTTTATTAGCTATTCTACTGCCTTTTGTAATTCTGTAATTAATATTTTACAGACTCTCAATCTGTTATTTCTAAATATCACAAACTTATAGCTTCTACCTTTAACCCAAATAAACTTTTTAAATTTAATGCCTGATCATTATGGCATATACTTTTTAATATTATAAAATCTTATTTATTACATATAACTTTTCACAAAGTTTAAGCCCATACAGATAAAATTTTCAATTTAGCAGACTCTCTTGCTAAACAACATATTGCTACTTTATACCTTGAATTTAATTATACTAATATTTATAATCTATATCACATATTACAATATGAAGAAGAAAAATTCTTTGTTAAACAATCAACTCGATCTTTTTTAAAACTACTTGTAAATCTTATATTTTAGTTATGTGGTCATCTTAGCAATGCAATAAACAATGGTCTTAAACAAGTGACAGAACTGATTGGCAATTTATCTAGTTATACTTTAACCATAACTATAAATCTATCTATAATATCACAACTTCAAACTCAATCAACTCAAATCATTCAAAATCAAAACTCTACTAAATGAATTATCTACTTACTAACATTACTATATTCTTTATTCTACTATCATTCAGAATACTAACTGTTTCTATTGTAGAGCATTAGATTCTTTCTTACATTGGCTTAAATGTTCTAATCCAATACTACTTTAACATATAATCAATACTGGTATTAATAATTATATCAATTTTATCAAACTAAATTTGTTAACAGACCAGAAGGATAAACTTATTTATCAATTACAACATTATGCTGTAACAATATCATCTTCATCATATTACTTAGAACTTACAATTAAAGATTTAATTCCTAACTTCATAGTGCAAACCATACAAATTTTTATATACAATCATCCAATTTTTATATACAATCATCCTCTTCTATAACCACGTGATTTGTTTTATATAAAAATGATGTGATTATAAAATTTTTAATAAATAAATTGCCAATAATTTTTTAAAAAAATGGTGCTTATAAAGAGGGTGTAACTATATAGGAGGTGACTATAGAGAAGGATAACTGTACCTTATAAACAAGCATTCTATATTATTATTAAATTATTATTAAATGTTAACAAACAAATATACAATCAATTTTAGAAACTTTACTGCATTAATTTCTCTAATTATAAAAATAACAACAGATAATATACCTCTATTTCAAGTCAGAAAATTCATTATTAACTGTTAATAGGAAAAAACGCTTTCAAATTAACTACATATACTCTTGCCAATGTGAAACAGCAAACCAATTACATTCTTACTCAGATACTTGTTCTCTTGTAAGCCGAGCTAAAGGAAAAATCAATAATTGATATAAATACTAGATTAAGTATAATACAACTTTGACTTTCATTTTATCTTTAAAATCTAGATAAGTCTTTAATCACTCTAGTGGATTTAGATCACAGATAAATGTGTCTAAGCTTCTATTCTTGCATATAATTTTTGTTTTTATTTGTACTTATACAAATAGTAGTATTTCTATATTTTATGTAGTTATTATTTTTAAAATTACTAATAAAGATATGAGCAAGGCCTCACCTCAATATCAAAATAAAATATAGTTTTATCTAACTCTAAACTAATATAAACATATCAGAATTACTGTTTTTGTATATATCATATAATAAAAATAAAGATTATAAAAATTTAATGTATCCTATTAGTATATGTACATTAATTCATTTTATAATTATTCAAAAAATTGTTTAACAAAATTTTTTTTTATTAATAATAAAATTGTAAGAAAAATTTTTTAAAAACCTGAAATTTTTGTATAATATTACTGTACTAGTTCTGTATATCTTTAACAATATCTTTATTATATAATTACTATTAAAATTTAAATAAAAAATTTATCAAAATTAAAAATTTTTTTTAAAAAATTATATAAAATTAAAAAAAATACTTGAACTATTAAACTTATTTATATAATGCCCAATATCTAACAAATTATAATCTATTTAAAATTATAAATAATTATTAAATTACTAGATAATTGTATTTAAAAGGTTACTAAAACTAATACAATATACTAGTTTAGTATAGGTAAATCCAATCCATTAAAATATAATTCATATATTAAAGTCAATAATCTAAATACAAAACATAAAATAAATAATAAATTTATTTAATTATTAATCTATAAGTTTGAAAAGTACTTACAACAGGAACTTCAACAGAATCAATAGGTCTACTTTCTAAGATTATTCATATAGAGTAATTAGTTTAAATAATAATAACGAAGATAATTTTTCGAAGATATACCTTCAATCACACTCAATATTCTTTGTGTATTGATAATTTTGCTAGTATACATATAATTAGGATGTTTTGAAGAAATAATTGGCATATTTTTTACTATTTTATCAGCATCCAAAAATTGCTTCTTAAGTTCATTTAAAGCATCTAAACTTTCCATGCTTTCATTCCATTCATTGAATTTTCTTAAAACTTCCTCAATGGTAGGTCATTTTAGTGGATCCGAATCCATGCATTATTTAGCAAATTCAATATAGCAATCAGGAGTTCTAGGTGAAAACCTAGGCCGCAGTCCATTAATAATCTTAATGGCAAGATCCATGCTAAATAGTTCACCATCAAAGGGCCTTTGCCTGGTTGACATTTCTGTCATGACAACTCCAAAACTATAAATATCAACAGCTTGTGTGAGCGGCTTTCCTTACAGGACTTCAGGTGCAACGTATAGCATGACACCATAAATATTTTCTGAATCATTTTCATCTTTCCTTCTAGACAATCCCATGTCTGAGATATAAGATCGAATAGTTTTTCTAACATCCCTAATTTGTAAAATATTACCACCATGAAAGTCCGAATGAATATAACCTGCTTTATGAATTTTATATAAATCCAATGAAATATCTTCAAGTAATTTTAATTTAGTCTGCTATGTAATCTCTTGAAACTTCTTTTTTAAAAAATTATTAAGATTTCCTCTATTAGCATATTGAAGTACTATCATGTATTCATTTGTTTTTGTGTTTTGAGTCAATCCATATATCTTAAGTTTAGTACTATATTTTTTGCATTTTACATAATTGTCAAACTTTATAAATTTAATAAATTTAAATAAGTCTAATGTATTTAACAAAGTATCAAGTAAATTATAATGTTGCTTACTTCATTTAGAAAATAATGTAAGTTTTCAATAGAACTAGAAAGGGACTGAGTGCAACGACACTTGGAGTTTCACGCGATCTTATATATCGCTTAATTTTGGTTTCTTTTTTTTGAATTCCTTTAATTTTTCGTATACCATCACTCCAGGTCGCAGAAAATATAGCGCTAAATCCTCCTTGGCTGATTAATTTAATATCTAATAATTTATCAAATGGAATCCATTCAATCATATCTTCATACTTAGATGTTCTAAGTTGAAATTCTTTTATGCA